CGCTTGGAGCTGCCGCGCCCTGGGCTGTGGCCGGCCGGTGGGCGTGCGGCCAGCTCGTTTCTTTACATGTGTTTTTAAACAGCTGGCCAGACCTGTTCTTGCACAAACTTGGCAGATTAGAGTCTTCTAAACATCAATACCATTGACCGATTAATTATATTCATGAGGTCGTTCCAAAGTCCAAGTACTAATTTAATTGGTACTAATTTAACCTCAAGGGGAAGCTTCCATCCCTCGTCACTGTGTACGATGCTAGCTGTGTGTTTTTCACATGTGGCCCTTTTCATGTTGCGAAAGTTGCTTTCTATTCCTAGTTTACTGAGTCTTCTTTATCATGAACAGGTGTTGGATTTTGTCAAATGCCTTTTCTGCACCAGTTGAGATGACTAAATGGTTTTTCCCTCCACTCTATTAATGTAATGTGTGACACCGAGTTGCGTCTGTTGAACCAGCGTTGCATTCCGGGGATAAATCCCTACTTGGTCATGGAGTATAATCCTTAAAAAAAAAAAGGCTACTGGATTTGGTTTGCTTGTTTTTTTAAAAGGAGTTTCGTGTTTCTATGCATAACGAATATTCACCTGGAGTTTTCTTTCTCATGATGTCATTATTGTTGAGCGTTTGGAGGTCTTTATATATTTTGTCTTCAAGTCATTTGCTGATACTTTCTGCAATTCCATGGCTGGAAATTTTTAATTTTAATGAAGTCAAGTTTATTTATTTTTTTCATTTGTAGATCATGCTTTTGGTGTGACAGCGAAACACTCTTTGTCTCTAACCCTTGGTCACAGAGCTTTTTCTCCCATCTTTTTTCCCAAAATTTTTAGGTTAGATTTACATTTCGATCTATGGTTCGTCTTGAGTTAGTTTTTAAATAAGGCGTGAAGTTTGGATCAAGGGTTCGGGGGTTTTCGTTTTTGTTTTTTTGCGTGTGGATGTCCAGTTGTCTCAGCGCCCTTTGTTGAAAAGACTATCCTTTGTCCATTCTGCACCTTTGGAAAAAAAACTCTGGCAGTATTGGCGTGAGTCTACTCATGGGCTTTATCCTGTTCCCCATACCTAGGGGGCCTTCCTCTCCATCAAGTCCACACTGTCTGGATTACTGTGGCTGGATTACTGTCATTCTTAAAATTAGGTAATACGATCCCTCCGATTTTATTCTTCTCTTTCAAAATCGTTCTGACTAATTCCGTTTCATTTACCCACATGAGTGTTAAAAATCGATTTGTCTATATCTATGAGAAATCCCACTGAACTTTTGATCGCAATTTGCCTTAAAGCTATAGATCGGTTTGGGGAGAATTGACGTTTCTAATGGGGAACCTTCTCATTCGTGGACAAGGTATGTCTCATCATCTATTTAAGTTTTCTTTGATTTATTTCATCGGCGTTTTGTAGCTTTCAGCATACACATCCTGTATGTGTTTTGTTAGGACTACGGATATTTTGTG